GTAATGGCCTTCTAAAAACATAATTATGGCACCGGCTAGGTGACAATACCTTGCAGGGTTGGGGCAATGTTCTCCAGGAGGCTGTATATGCTCTAAACCAGCATCCAATATATGGTGCTGTTTCTCCCATAGCCAAGATTCATGGGTCTAGGAATCAAGGGGTGGAAATGGGATCGGCACCACTCACTGTTACCCCTAGTGACCTGCTCACAAAATTTTTGCTCCTATCCCCATATCCCTATGCTCTGCAGGCCTAGAGGTCTTAGTTCCAAAGGGAGGAATGCTCCCACGAGGAGACACAACACTGACTCCAATAACTGGAAGTTAAGAATGCCACCTGGCCACTTTGGGCTCCTCATGCCTCTGGATCAACAGGCAAAGAAGGGAGTTACCATATTGGCTGATGTGACTGATACTGATTACCAAGGGAAAATCGGATTGCTGTCACATAATGGAGGTAAAGAAGAGCGCAGGTGTCCCCCGTTTTTCAAAAGTTTGCTTTACGCCACTTCGCTTTTACAAAAGATCTACATTAGTACCTGTTTTCACTAACCAAAAGATATCCAAAGAGAATTTTTGCTTTTACAAAAAAAGTCCAAAAACAGAAACAGTGTTCAGTGTTTGTTTTGCAGCAAGCTGTTAAAGAGGCAGCGCACACCCCAAGCAGTGAGAGTGGCATCGCCAAGCTCCTTCCCCAGGAACTGCATTAAGTATTTCAGCATCAAGCTACCATATCTTTGAACTTTGTCTGTGAAACTATATGTACATACATTATTTCTACTTTATATAGGCTATGTATTTATCATATCATTCCTGAATTTATTATATGCTGGAGCCCGTGACACAGTGGTTAAGAGCTTGGCTGCTAACGAAAAAGTATGGCAGTTCAAATCCACCAGCCACTCTTTGGAAACCCTATGGGGGCAGTTCTACTCTGTCCTAGAGGGTCACTATGAGTCGGAATCAATTTGACAGCAATGGGTTTGGTTTTTTTCAGGGTTTCTTAAATTATATGTTAGTGTTGTTTTAGGTTTTATGTGTTATTCGGTATGATTTAGTAGGTTATTTTTTGGGTCTGGGAACACTCAAAAAATCTTCCCATATAAATTAATGGTAGTTCCTTCTTTGCTTTATGCCATTTAAGCTTACAAAAGGTTTCATAGGAAGGCCGTACTTTCAGTTAGTGGGGGAAACCTGTATGTTTGGAATACAGGAGATCCCTTAGGACATCTCTTAGTACTACCATGCCCTGTGATTAAAGTCAGTGGAAAATTACAGCAACCCAATTCTGACATGACTACCAATGCTCTAGTCTCTTTCAGGAATGAAGGGTTGGGTCACCCCACCAGGCAAAGAATCATGACCAGCTGAAGTTCTTGCTGAGGGCAAAGGGAATACAAAATGGGTAGTGAAAGAAGGTAGTTCTAAATACCAGCTATGAACACATGACCAGTGGCAGAAACGAGGACCGTAATTGTTTTTAGCATTTCTTCCTTCTTTTGTAATACATATGTGTGTGTGTATCAAAAATATCTTTGTTTTCTTCCCTCTCTTATCCCATTACTTATTATAAAATATAAGATGTAAATAAGGCTAGGGCGTTTTTGGTCATACGCACGTTAGTTGCTATTATGTGAGACCCAAGTATTACTTTGGAATTGTCTTTATTTCGAGATTGTATATGATTTAAGGAGATGTGTACAGGTGCCAGGTTGACAAGGGGTAGACTGTGATGGTTAAGGTTGTGTGTCATCTTGGTTAGGCCATGATTCTCAGTGGTTTGGTAGTTATGTACTGATGTAGTTTGGCAGTTATGTTATGATGTAATCTGGAAGTTATGTGATGAGGTAATCATCCTCCATTTTGTCATCTGATATAGTCATGCCCCATCTTATAATCTGTTGCGAGCAGCCAATCAGTTGAAAAGGGAGTTTCCTTGGGGGTGTGGCCTGCATCCAATGCATACAGATGTTCTGGCAAAACCTACATGCTCTGGATCCTGCATCCAACTTATCATCCTCTGACCTCTGGTTCTTGGGACGTGAGCCAGCAGCCTTCCACCTGACCTGCAGATCTTGGTATTCGCCAACTCCTATAACCTCGTGAGCCAGCACCCTTCCACCTGACCTGTTGATTTTGGGTTCGTCAGCCCCTGCAATCACATGAGTCAGCAGAAGCCTCCAGCATGATGCCTTCCCATGGACTTGGGACTTGCCAGCCTCCACAACTGCATGTGCCATTTCCTTGAAAATTTATATATACACACATATATATATGCACACATATGCTTCATTGGCTTTGTTTCTCTAGAGAACCCAGCCTAAGACAAGTACTGACCAATTATTTTGTAGAATGTTGATAAGAATACCCCAGAAGTGATGTATCACATGAGGAAGTACATGATGTCAATTTCTCCTATTACTGGTATCACTAATTTTGATCAATAAAGGTTCTGGGCTTTCAGAAGAGGCATACCCCTAGTAGTAACAGCCTTAGCATAATACCAGAAGTAATCCCAAAATGTGTTTACAAAACAAACAACTTTTTTCCAACTAAATTTTTAAAAATGTGTACTACCTTCAGATGACTCCCTGAGAGAGTTCAGGATGATTTGTGGTACATTGTTACCATATAAAGATACTCCCACATATAGAGATACTCCCAGATTTTTTCACCTCATAAAATCTCAGTACATATTTCTGGATACATATGTTTATATCTCAAGATTTTCTTGACAATCAGACGCTCCAGTAGAGATCTACATCTTTAGAAATAGAGTTTAAATCATATTGTAGGTAGACTTCAACCAGAGGTACACCCCAAAGTGACAAAGCTACTAATTCTAAAGCAGAGACCTAATTTTCAAACAAACTGGGGTGAACTTGGAAACCCTGGTGGCAGAGTGGTTAAGAGCTATGGCACTAACCAACAGGTCAGCAGTTCGAATCTACCAGGTGCTCCTTGGAAACCCTATGGGGTAGTTCTACTCTGTCCTACAGAGTCGGTATAAGTCAGAATCGACTCAACGGTAATTTTTTTTTTTTTTTTCCTGAAAACTGAAGACATTTAATCTACAATGTTTCCCCTTGTCTTTGAGCTCTAGCTAAAGAACTGGAGTGCACTGCTAAAATTGAAGCAGTGAGAAATAATCGCTAAAAGCTTAACACTAGGGAAAAATGACAGAAAGCCAGTCACAAATCATAGAGCACAGAGCAATCTGGAGCAGACTGAAATAGTCTACACATTTCAATAGCTCCTATAAGTATCACTACTATGCAATATAGTAACTAATATTTAGAATAACACAAAGCCATCAATAAAAGGTTAAAACACATTGTTTTAAAAAGAGAGTGTAAAGTACTTTTAACTAGATTTCCATCAAAGCTGTTAAAATTGTTTTTAAAGTGTAACCCTAAATTACTGAAAATACACATAAATGTATATTGCCCTGTTGAAGTCAAATAAGTAAGCTATAAGAATATCTGCTATAATACCATACACATTTCTGAAGAAGAAAAAAATATACATATACCTCATGTACTACAAAATCACACATTAAAACTGTGGACTTGTGAGAAAAATAGTTGAGACAGACCATTCAAAATCTATGGAGCTTTATAGCCAGAGCATTGATAAACACAATAATAATGTAGAAAATACTAGCACTGTTAAGCTCAGTATTTCCACCTATTATCAACCCTGAAATGTCTTCTTTCTTTGAGATGTAGGTCCTATTAGAGGGCATTCACTTCCAAAAGAGACTATGTTCATCAAAACTAAAAATCTGATCTTCATTATACTATCATATGTAGCCTTCCTTATATCATAGTTTTTGATACAGGAAGAAGGGTTCCATGGGTGGGGGGTAGTAGGAAAGTGTGTTCCCCAAAATATGCACAAAAATGGCCCTTGAGAGAAAGAGCCAGCCTTTGGACATATGCCAGCATTCAATATCTAACAGATACAAATACCATTAACAAAGAAGAGTTTTCCCCGTTTACCTCTCAGCCCTCTTCCCACCTTAAACCTTAAGATTACAAAAGAGGGAAAGTAAACAGGGGAGGAAATATGCAAGAGCCAAGAAGATAGTAACACTTTGCCCTTTCCCTCCCTAAACATTTAACAGGTTTCAGAGCCTGGGTTAGGCCAAAACTGGGCGGAAGGGAAGAAGCTTAAACCGGAAATGAGATTGACGCTTGGATTTAGAACAAAATTTTAACATCTGAAAATAAAACTATTTGTTAATACCTAAAAGTGACTAAATAGCTATAGGATTTGCCTAAGATTCCACATAGGAGTGAGTCCAAAGAACAGCAATAGAGAAAATAATTAAGCTATTCCTTTATTGGAATTAACGAGCTTAGCTGCCAACCAAAAGATGGGCAGTTCGAATCTACCCAGAGGCACCTCACAATCTACTTCTGAAAAATCAGACACTGAAAACCCTATGGAACACAGTTCTACTCTGACACACACGTGGAGGCCAAGAGTCAGAGTCAACTCCACAGCAACTGGTTGGGTTTTTTTTTGTTCCTTGATTATATGTCGAGTCCAGCCCATTCAATGAATTGGTTGTACTTGCACACACACACACAGACTCATACAAGATAGTCAAGAAATTCTCTTGACTAGCTTTTGAGGGACTAGTATTCCAAAGAACATCTGAGAGAAGCACACTTTAAGGTGCTCTTCCATAAAGAATGTTCTAAGATGAGCCTGGACACATACTGAAAATCAAATCCACCAAAGCAGAAAGCATAAGTACCTGCACTTTCACTCAATCCTTCTAGGAGGGAATTACAAATTTTAAAAAACCTCTTTTAAGTTGAACAATATTTGAAGAATAATCCTCAAGGAAGGAAAAGCAGACACATTTTTATTCCACTTCAGTGTGTCATGAGATCATCTAAGAGAAAGATATTTTAATACATTATCTATCATTTACAAATTGACATGACTGTTCATTTAATAATCCTATGCAGATAGAGGGACTTTCTTACCTTTTGAAAGGGACAGCATTTTTCAGAACTGCCTCCACCTCAGCAGTATTTGCTCTGGCAAGATCTGCCACAGTGAGAAAGCCGGCAGCATAGAGGAACCTGGCTCGCTGTGCGTTAAGTAAGGACACTCGGATCAGGTCACACAGCTCCCTCTGGACACCAAATGTGAGACGCTTCTGAAATTGCGAAAGTAGTAGTTCCATGTTGTGCCAGCCCAGGCGATTGGAAAATACTGTAATCATCCCTAGAATATTCATAGAATGTTTGTTGAATCAAGAATTCTTTATAGGCTTCACTTTTCATTTCTTTAGACGGACTTTTTAAAAAATTTTCATATGGGTTGAATTGTCTGTCCCCAAAATATGTGTTGGAATTCTAACCCCTATACATGTAGATGTGATCGCTTTTGGGAATATAGTTTTCTTTTTTATGTTAAGGAAGCCATAAGGGTGTGGTGTAGGTCCTAAGCCAATCACTTTTGGGATATAAAAGGGGCAGATTAGGCACAGAAGGAAGCACAAATGGAAAAAGATTGATGCCATGTGAAGCTCACCAAGGGACCGAGGAAGAGAAGCTGAAAGAGACAAGGATTTCCCCCCAGAGCACAGACAGAGCCTTCCCCTAGAGCCAGTGCCCTGAATTAGGGCTTCTAGTCTCCTAAACTGTGAGAAAAGAAATTTCTGTTCATTAAGGCCACCCACTTGTGAAATACTTTCTGTTATAACAGCAGTAAGAAACTAAGACAATTTTGTTTGCTTTTCTGCTACAGAACTGTAAGGTTTAACAGGCCTATTAATTAGTAATTTGATGAGAAAAGAGAGACCACTGTGTGCTCCCTTCGGCAGCACATATACTAAAATTGAAACAATACAGAGAAGATTAGCACAGCCCCTGCGCAGGGATGACACGCAAATTCATGAAGCTTTCCATATTAAAAAAGAGAGAGAGAGAGAGACCATTGAGAACTTTGTTTCTTCTTGCAACAGGCAACAGAAAAGGAAAAAGAAAACAGAAAGGAAAGGGATGGTCAGCAAGATATTAAGAAACGGAAGGGGGACAAGGGCCAAACATTCAGCTGGCTTCCAGTACTGTCTAGCAGGGTAACTGAACCCGGAACCATAATTTTAAGTTTTCTGATGATGACAGGGACTACTCAAAATTATGGCTTTAATGTAGGGTCCTACATTAAAATGAAATTTGGAAAAAAAAAAATCTTAAACTTGACCTCAAACCACAGTCTTAAATAAATGTGGAAAACTTTGTTTAACTGACCTGCATAAACAGCAGCTGATTGTTGCAAAGACTGAATTTGTCCACGATTGCATCCATATTTCTGATTAATTTCCTTTAAGGGAACTTCACTGATTAAATCTAATAACACAAGACTGGTGAAAAACCTGAAAAGTAAATCACCAAAAGTATAGTAAAAGTTCACTTATGTCTACTGTGAAAGTGCAATGTTTGTTTCAAAACAATTAAATTAAGAACCAAAAAGGCAACAGAGGGTTTACACACCCCGGGAAGATTCTTAATGGGAAAAAGTGAACGGAAAAAGACTGAGATCAATGTTTGCAAAGCAAGTTCTGACATAAAACTTTTTAATAGCAAAGAACTAGTATCTGTATAACAAAAATATTTTCCACATATTTCAATACTGCTAACTAATTTTAAGAAATAAGGCTTGGCTCAAGAAACATGAAAGCATAAAAATTTTAAAGACAACTTGATATTTAGCTATATGCTTATTTAAGCATATTGCAATAAAATGGCACAATCTGAACATCCAATCCAGTTTAGATTGGTAAATGAAGGGCAACACTGGCATAAAAAATCGAAGTATATAAATCCTTATAAAATTTACACTTGACTCTGTTGTGAATGATACATAGGCTCACCATAAGTTGGAATCAACTTGACAGCAACTGGAACTGAAAATATTTTAAGAAAAGTAATTTTATTAAATTTCAAAAAAGCTAAAAGCCTGTCCAATTCCGCCATCTGAATTTTTTAATTGGCACTTTCCTACTAAGAATGAGTAACTTCTCAAGAGAAAAAGCATAACCCCAAAGGAAGCTACACTAAGTTGGCAGTTGTTCTGATTCACATCTTCTTTAAGAAAGGGAAGTAATACAATGTTTTGATTTAAAATATCTTTTTATATAATGTTGTCTGCTAAACTATAAGCCGTATGTAGAAAGTAAAATAACAACAAATTCAGTAAATACAGGAAATTTTAAAAGTGTACTATAGTCAGCCAAAATTTTTATTTGACTGATGAAAATGACTACAATAAACTAGACATCTAGTGTAAACCAGAGACTGCATCAAACACTGGAGAGTCCAGGCTCCTTGATGGTTACCTTTTATGGATGGCCATTTGCCGGTGCTGTCTCTCAGTTCTGGCTACTACTTTCCCCTTCACACAGCGAGCCAAGAACCCTTCTTCAACCCCGACTAGCTCTGCTACCCGTTTCATAGAAGTAGGCAACTTCTCCCATAAACAAAAAAATCGGTACCAATCAATAGTAGTCCAATCCTCAAACATTGGTGTAACCTAAAACGAAAATGTGTCATTCATTAGGTAAAACTACGACATTACAAAGGGAGCAAAATTGCAAATGTAAAACTTCATATTAAAAACAAAGGTCTCAGTATTTGAAAAAGTGATAATATTTCATTTCTGAGCAAACTTCATTTATCCACAGAACAACTTACAGCCAGGACAAAAGGAAAAGAGGCCACTTAGCATACAAACTAGATTTTACAGAACCCAAGTACTTTAATCACCCCATTGCCGGCGAGTCGATTCCAACTCATAGCGACCCTATAAGGCAGAGTAGAACTGCCTCATAGGGTTTCCAAGAAGCGCCTGGTAGATTTGAACTGGTGACCTTTTGGTTAGCAGCTGTAGCTCTTAACCACTACGCCACCAGGGTTTCCACTTTAATCACAGACCTTTTAATCTCAATACCTGATGTTAGGTACAATCTTAGGTATTTTATATGATTTGCAAGAAAGAATCAGTAAAATGGAAGGGAGAGCTTCTGGAAATAGAAAGAATTAGGCAATCTGGAAGATGACATATATACTGGAGAATTTACTAGAAATAAAGATATGTATTAAATATTTACTAAGATGTCAAACACTCACCAAAGATTGTCAGCCCTGAGGTGAGTAGTAGTATTATGTTTAATTTAACAAATGAGGAAATGGATTCTTAAAAGAGGTTAAGTACTTTACCAAGGTCATACAGTTACTAAGTGATGAGAATGGAGTTGAACTAAGGCAGTCTGACCCCAGAGCCCCTAATCTCAGCCACTGTATAACAAATGAGACTTATTCTTAAGGCTATGGTGGATGACCTGCTTTGATATTATACCTAGGCATACTGTAGGACACAGAACTTTGAGCCCAGTGTTGTCACTCATGTATTACATGTTTGCAAGAAAAAAAAAAGGCCCTGTCCACACACTTCTCCTCTGCTCACCTCTGTATAGTGTTTTTTACTGAAACACATTTCCTGATAAGCCTTCTTAATTGAGGATCTCAATTTTACCCCCACTCGTTACTTATCAAAATGCATGCATCTGCTCTTAATTGACAAAATAAATTATTTCTGTTCAGGTTCTTGCCAGGGAATATGACCTCAAACACAACGTTATCCAATTCTTATCAAAGTCTTTGCTATAAGGGATAACATTCACAGAGGTCTATCTAATGTAAACAAACTTGAAAAATTCCTAATTACATTTATTGTAGATACCTTATCAAGGATATAAGTCACAAAATAGCTTCTTAAGACTAAATTTCTCTTAGGCAGTGAGATGCAATCCTTTTTCTACATACTTGTTTTGCTTTTTACCTTATGAATATTGAAACTAATCAAGCTCCTCTCTTTGCTTTAGTAGCTAGAAAGCTCAGAAGCAGAGCTGGCAATAGTAATTGTACATTATTTAATGGCAAGCATGGTTATGTACTGTGATCATTAAGGTTGTGTGTCAACTTGGCTGGGCCATGATTCTCAATGGTTTGGCAGTTATGATGTAGTCTGGCAGTTGTATAATGATGTGATCACCTCCATGATGGGATCTGCTGTGGGTAGCCAATCAGTTGAAAGGGAGTTTGCATGGGGTGTGGCCTGTATCCAATACAGGTGGACTTTCTGGCAATGCTCCTGGACTTTTGCTTGCTCTGGATCCTGCAGCTGGCTCCTGTTTGTCTGACCTTCGGTTCTTGGGACTTGAGCTAGTAGCTTACCTGCCGTCTTGCCTGCTGATCTTGGAATTCGTCAGTCTCTGCAGCCTGTGAGTCAGAGCCCTGCTGTCTGACCTGCCAGTGTTGAGTTTGCCAGCCTCCTGCAGCTACTTGAGTCAAGAGAAGCCTGACCCAGAGACTTGGGACTTTCCAGCCTCTATAACCATGAGAGGCATTTCCTTGATATAAATCTCTATATATAGGTATTTATACGCTTTACTGGTTTTGCTTCTCTAAAGCACACAGCCTAAAACACGTACCAACCTTTGTTTGAGTTTTACATTATGATCTTATTTTTAACTTCTTGGCATCCCATCGTCCTTTGCTGCTCTCTTATATACTATAAAATATATTTTTTTTTGTAAAGCACCCCAAATTATTTTTGAAAGGAGGTTGAAGATAGGTGGGTAGGTAAGCAAATAGATTAAAAAGTCACTAGAACATTTAGCTTCTTACTTTAAAACAACTTTCTTCTTCTATATCCTCACCACTACTAACTTAGTCAAGGAAAACAAATAAGACGTTCCATTAAGATATCTTTGATCCTCAGAATTCTATGTATTTTCTTCCTGTTTTTCACAAATATAATAGTGAAGAAAACAGAACTTACCAGATAGACAATATGCAGGTCATTCTCCAAAACAAAGCTCTTCATTGCTCTTTGTAGGTCAGCAAAGATATCTAAAGTATCCATTGGAGAAAGTGAAGAAGAAAGAGTAGCCAAACCAAGATGTGTTGGATGATACACTTTTCCTAGTTTGGGCATGAGAAAGTGGGGGTGAAAGAGTAGGGAAGCATATGTTTACAAAAGTAAATAAAGTAAAACTAATTAATTA